TTTATAGATTTTGGGTTGCAGAGGAGAAAGAAGGTGCTTACTGAGATCACGCAGTCCACCACTGGTTTCTTCAATGCACTTTCAGCGGTCTCCTTCAGTTTGGTCAGCAGCATCCCTGTGACCTGCTCAATACTGAAGACTCTCTCCTCCTCCATGTACATCACCTGAAATCCAAATATTGAAAAGGCAATTAGTCATAGTTAGCTCTTTTTTATTTTTTAATGTAATGTGCATATCACAGTTTCGTTTTAAATTACTTTATTTGATGGGATAGTACCTGTGATAAATATTTTTCATAGTTTTACATCAGTGGCAGTTTGTGAAACTTAAAATTCCATCTAAAGTGCAGATACAGTTAATGGAAAGGAGTAAATTTGCATCTGACAGGTTAAATATTCATTTAATATAACAACCCAAGGTGCTGTTATATTGTATTTGTGTAATCTATTACTATCTTAACTATTGCATAACCCAGTTTTAAATAGAATTCTGTTATCTATAGCTAAATCAGGTCTCTCTAATGCTCTCTCTCTTAAATGTCTGGTTTTAGTAATGTATGAAAATGTGAAATCTAACCAAAATCCAAGTCACAATAATTTAATGTACTGCAGTATTTTTTAAAACTTTCCATAAAATGAAGCTCTACATACACAGAATAAAATCCAGTTTTAATAATTTTGTTACATGGCATTTACTTTAGTAACTGTAATTTACTTTAGTAGTCTCTAGTTTCAACTTTTGAACCTCTTGCACAGTTTACAGTTTTGTATTCCATTATCACACAAGCCTACAGGTGATCAAATTTGACTTTAAAATAGAACAATTATCCATCAAGAGCCTATTATAATCTTGCAGCTTCCAGGTGATATAACACAGTGTGAATTATATCAGAATCTGGCATCAAGCAGCTATTGTTGGGAAAAAACAAAAAACTAGCAAAGCCTAGAGTATCAGACAGGCAACACCAGTGGACTACTCTAATTTGTGATCTATCCTCGAGACGCTTTTTAATTACCCCCACAGGGAGGGACACACAAGCTCAAGACAGGACTTGTGCACAACCTAGATATCGACATTTTACAACGCAGAGCAACAGAAGCTTTTAAATCTCAGGTAAAGGCAATGATCATCCTTAAGACATGATATTAATAGTGTGGTTACTAATTACAACTAATAACTGTTCTAAATCTTATTTTACAATTTACAAATCTGATTGGCTAAGCTGTATTCATTAAGGAGAGTGTTTGTTCCTCAATATAAAACAAAAAAGTTGCACGATTTAAGAGGTTTATGTTGCTACAATCTGAGCATTACCACAGTAAACTTTTGTGCAGTAAAAACACACATCAGATTTCAATCAAAATGTAAATAATAATAATAATAATCATCATCATCCTCCTATAGATTTTGTATAAATAAATATGCAACTGGCCACAGCATCCAAATTATAGAAGTATGAACAATAATAACCAGTAATAACAACATTTGTTATTATTAAGTCAATGACAACAAATAAGTAGCTCTAACTTCTTTTACAGCTAAGTAGTCCATATCTTACCTTAATGCCAGTGGCTCCATTGGGCATCTGCGCCAGGTCGTATACCAGGTTGGGTTTTGTTGCCTGGACATACGGGTCTGAAAATGCTCTGCCATGGAAACGCTTGAAACCCTGGATTGTGTTCTTGTAATTGGTCACCACCTGGAGTTAAATAAAGTAGTGTCAGTCAAAACAATAACTTCAACTATCACACTGTACTCTGTTGTAATAATCATGTTTTTTTTTTTTACCTGGCTCTTTGCAGCAGCTCCAATGGCTCGATTTCTTGGTCCGAAAGATACAAATGACCTAAAAGTGATGTATAAATGTTAACTTTAATTCACAAATAAGCAAACATGTGGGACAAAACAATTAATTCACCAGTCTTTTCCATATTCAAGTGGTAGGTTGAGTTAAATGAATTTGTACAGAAGAAAACCACAAATTCACATCCACTCCTTTAACTATCATCAAAATCAGATGACATCTCAAACAAGCACAGCTAATACTGAGACAGTAATTAAGGGTAATAAATCATGTACTATATATTCAATCATGTATGCATGTAAAGTAGGGTGAACAGAATTTCAAAAAAATAAAAAACTGGGACATCTGGTTTTTTGGTGGTTGGTAATAATAAAATTGTGAAACGAGTGCTTAATTAAGGAAAATTGTCATACAGAGACCACTCACGACAAACATGTCAAGCCAGTATAGTCACATTTTCTTTGCGTTTTTGTAATTTCTAAGCAGCTTTTCTGTATTTTACCTAAACTAATGACAATATATGCCTCTTTTTACTGTTGGCAGGTATCAAATTGGTCAAAAATAGGAATACCTGGGACATTATTGGTATAAAACCGGGACAAATCAATGGTTTTGGATAAATCTGCTGGGGCAGGGGACACAGCGCTCAAAACTGGGACTGTCCCGGGTAAATAGGGACGTCTGGTCACCTTAATGTAAACAGTAAAATACAAGACAATCAATCTCATGTAGACTGCATGATTTATCATTATTTAGAATCAATGAATTGGTATGTTGAGTACTTCAGCCAAGGAAGGGCATATGACCATTTTTGCTTTATTGTTTTTAGGATGCAGCAAAATGAAATGTTGCAGACTAGGTGAGGCAAATCAAATCCATAATAAATACTCAGCAGCCTGGTTCAAAATACAAAACATTAATTACTCTGTATGTATTCAGGCTGTATACGCCTTGTTCACTAAATCATCTAACTTTATATATGACTAAATAAAAAGAATGGGCCAGAACAACGTATTCTAACAAATAACCTCGTGTTTGAGTGTTACTTTTAGCTTTTCGCTCAGGATTTAACTCTTAAGTGGCACATATTTTAATAGATCCATGGGCGCACACGGTCGAAAATTGCTAGAATCTTCCAAAGAGCGATTGGCTGCTGTCGTCATTGACTATAACGCATAGACGTACATTTTCTATTCCAGGACACACCGGTCGGGCGGGGCTTCTGTAGATGCTCCTTATCCGCTGGATACATAGCAAACGCCGCCCATCCGTGCAAACATGGTATTTAAAGATAACGCATCCGTCCAACATACAGTAACTTGTAATAAACCTGTGATTTCAAAGCCAACTCTGTCCAAAACTATATGTACATAAAACGCGTTTTTGTTTTTACTAGACAGATTAAACAATTAATATTATGTTTAGATAATAAAAACAGCGAAACATGGTTACCATTAATGTACATAATGGTTGCTAGGTGGTGAAGCTATTCACGTGTAACTGTTCTGAGACACCGGTGAGGAAACAAGACAGGCTAAAAAGGAGTGCCCCGTCCCCAGAAAGAATGGATTGTAGCTATGAAGTACAGAATGAAATAGTACTTACGGTGTACATCTGTCGCTGTACTCGTTGGCGATTGTCTCAATCCCCCCAGCTCGGGCTACAGCCACATAACAGCTTTGAAAACCTAAATCAAATCCCACCACGGACATTCTGCTTCTTCTAAGAATCCTTCTATTCAAGCTACGAAATCGAAAATTAAGATAGCCAGAGAAGAATGCAAAACTTGAATGGAAGAGTCTAAATCGGTCCCGATGTGCTAAGTCGGGTTGCTTGCTTCATAATCCACTCTGTAGCCGGTGTGTGTGTGTGCTCTCTGCTGGAGCTGCAGCTGCGAGCGCTCTTACGGACTTCTTATCGAGATTTCACACAAATATCGCGAGACCTTGTGTTCTAGTCTTCTCTGGAGTACTCTGGACTTTTCCATACAGGTTTATGAAGAAAATGCTAAATATTTCTGGAATTCTGACCTGATTCTAATTCCTTCTGACCTTGAACTTTATATATTAAAATGAAATTCGTAATTTATTAGTAATATCTATATTTAGCCCAATCTATAGTCTGTTCAAATAATTATTGAGATCATGATGTTTGAATTACCTGGTTACAATTAATTCTTCATATATATTCATTTATTAGTTTATTTATTTATTTATTTATTTGTTTGTTTGTTTGTTTGTTTATTGCTTATGCTATTATTTTGTATTTGTATCATATTCACATCATAATTTATAATCAGAAAACGTTTATTGCCATGGTAAGTGAGCATAATTTACAATTAATTTGCTTTGATAGTGTGGTGCAACATAAAACAATGAATTTAGATTTTAAAAATGCATTTGCATCAGAGAAAATACACATAATGTCAAGTGTATACTATTCATATTCTGCAACAAATGGTAATATTTAGAAAACATAACAATAGTATCATAGACTGTAGGTATGTGTTTTATGTTTAAGTATTTATACAGTCTGTGGGTCATATGTGTGACTTTTGTTGTCAAATTATAAATGCAAATAGGCCTATTACACAATTATAATGCCATTGTATGTTTCAGTTTGCCAAGTAGACAAAGAACATTAAAAAAGGAAATTAATTTAGTTAATAAATCATTAACTACATGTCCAGTACAAAAGCAGTGCTCCAACAATCCTAAAATGCTTCCTCTTTGAGACTCTCATCATGGTGGCTACATATCATATACACAAAACAAGAACATTCAAAATAGACAAAATGGTCACCACTATAATAATAATGAAATACAACAATTTCCAGATAAAACAGATCAAAAACAAAAAAGCTATTAAAACGTACAACATCTACAGAAAATACATATAATGTAACAGTATCGCTCTCAACTGCTTTTTTATGTTGAACTTTATTGTATTGTTAAGTGTATTTGAGTTTTTCCTCTTGTATAGATGATTAGTGGATGTTACCCCGTATATGTGTTGTTTCTGTGATTTTGAACTGATTTTGTGTTTTTGAGGTCCCTGATTGTCCCCTGCCCTGATGATGTGCATTTGAGTATGTTGAATAAATAAAAATCCAATTAAATTAAATTTAATTTAATGTAATTTAATAAAATAAAATAAAAATTATTCTTTACTTCCCACTCCCTCTCGATAGGTGCTGCTGTTTCTTTCATTTAGTCACGAGGAAGAGAAGTACACCGCAACATGGCGACTCCCATGCACAGGATAATAGCCCGGAGACAAGCGTAAGGAAAATGGATTAAATACGCAAAGAAACTGTTTCTTGAATCAAACTAATGAAATCGTGTGCTCGGTTTCAATCCATTGGGGGTTAGATGCGACTCAATATAGCTTTTTAATGTGCTATTGAAACGTGTAAGAATCGCCATGAAGCTAAACAAATGAAAATCAATCGGCGATTTATCATCAGCAGCTGCACAGTTATTTATATGTCATATAATCTAACTGCTATTGAATGTTTAAAATAATTTGCTATAAACCAGGAGTTACAGCAGACTATAATTATGTCTTTCCTGTTCAAATACATCCGTAGAGGCTTATTACTGTTTGTTTTGTTGTCTAATAATCTCAAAACCTTACCCTGACTCAAATAGTTTCCTAAAATGGAATAACAGACATTTTCCAAGCCTCCTGCCTACTCATTAACGAAAATGGATTTTAATATTTACAGTTTGAACTGTTGTGCGTGCAGTGTTCTTTAAAGGTGGATTATGCAACTTGTCTCTGTGGGGGTATTATTGCCTTTCCTACAGTAGGCTATATCATTAAACGTGTCTCCACCAAACATCTATAATTGAGTGAATGCAAGATAAACCAATTGAGCTGTACTGTGGAACATTTTCGTCAAAGCATAACGTCTTAATGAAGACGAGAAAATGACTTACCCCACACCAGAAAAGTTACACAGCTCACCTTTAAGATACTGCCATAAATTGACTCAAAGTACGTTATAATGTAATCTAAAGCCCTTTTAAATTGAGACTTTGTATGCCCTGTTATTCTTAAATTAACACTTGTCCTCTATTTCTGTACAAAATAAAAGATGTGTTTAATGATTAGTAATTGAGTATTAAGTAAGTAATGTATATTACAGTGATGCACTTGAATGTGGCAATAATTATTGCATGTGTATCTATAGAGAGGCAAACAAACAGAATGTGCGGTGTCAGAAGTGCCTGGAGATGGGGCACTGGACATACGAATGCACAGGGAAGAGGAAGTATGTGCACAGACCCTCCAGGACAGTAGAGATGAAGAAGAAACTGAAGGAGATTGAAAACAAACCTCCTGCCATCACTGGGTAAATACTACATCAGTTATCACATGAAATATTAATATACTGGTATAACATGGTTCACTACAATTGGTGAGACTGAATTAAAAACAAATGTGTGCTGACATAAATATAATAAATTACATGCAGAGTATAATGTAAACAATTAAAATCCAAAATGATATTAGCATAAAAAACTGTAAATGTATATAGATTTTAATTACATTACTTGTATCTCATAATTGAACATTTTAAAAGCAATATTTGAACTTCAATAAGTTAAATAGAAATACATACCATGTTTCTGGTGCCAACCAGTAGAAAACCACATGGCACCCTAGTACTTAGCTGATAATGCTGATATAGCTGATTCTAAAACATGTTTTTTGCAGACCTGGGACAGAAGATTCAACTGAGAAGAAATCTAAAAAGAAGTGAGTACTATAACACTGATTTCTATTTTTGCCTTGTTGATAAACATGTAATTTTTCCTTTCAGAGTATTTGCTGGTCCATTATTAAAATAGTTTAGCGTCCTAATAACACCTTAGATAAGATATTTTAATCACTTGAAAAAAAAAAATTAAGAAATGCCTGGACCATGTCATGACAAACTGTGGCCATGAGATGGCGTAATGTTTTTATTTTAGATGCTTTGTCTTTTAAGCAACTAGTCAGAAGTCGTTGTGCAGTTCAAAGCAAGGTTGCAGGGACAAATTAAATATATATTATGCATTATTTGTATATGATATTCTTTACAACTTTTTATTATAATTACTAATTAGTAATTATTTGGCACTTTTTTAAGGCACTACTTGGTTCAAGCCAACACTTTGCCAACGGAAGAAAATAATAAAACAGGCCACGTTTAAACAATTAAAATGCAAAACATGAATAAAACACATGTGATCATAATTTATAAAAAGTCAATAATATGTACAAAAACCCACTCCAATGTTAAAAAGGTTCTATTCACTTTTTCATTCTCTGTGTGCTTGACTTCAGGTCTAAAGACTCAAGTGGCAGCAGCAGTGACTCGGACAGCTCGTCCAGTGAAGACTCCTCAGACAGCAGTGACTCCTCCAGCTCCTCGTCCGACAGCAGCAGTGACAGTGATGATTCTTCATCGTCGTCATCCTCCTCGTCCTCCTCCGACAGCTCTGACTCTGACAGCAGCAGCGACTCAGACCAGGGTCAGCCAAAGAAGAAGAAAAAGAAGAAATAAAATGGAAAATTACCCTATAATGTTGGCTAGTATATTTGGGTTGTAGTTCAAGTTATCTGGGACTTACAAGGTTGTTGTCAGATTCTATAAGAACAAGGGGCCAGTATTTCGTTATTAATTATAGTATCTCCAAAACAATATCAAAAAGGAAAATGTGTATTATTCCAATATGTTATGATAAACACCACAAAATCAATAGGTTATCAGCCTTACCGTTTTATTTTAAAAGTATGTCTAAACTTTATCAAATTAATATTCAAGTTGAAGAAATGTATACATTTCATGAAAGCGCTGGGTTATAATAAATCTGTAATTACTGAGCCTATCACCATGAAAACAAAAACAAGCCAAGATGAAACACCTTGCAGCATCAAACTGACATTCACTTCCTCACGACAGATGTCTTTTGAGTTGAGCATGGTACAATATGATGCTGGTGGTAAATAATTATATTAGATGTACATAGTGTCGAGCATCTTCCTCTCTTTCAAAAACTACATCCATAGTTGTTTTGGTATGCAACTACGCCTATTTCTCTACCAATAGACTGTACATGTCCAACCATCTTGGGCCTTTGTCGTAATCTTCAAACATTTAACATAAGCTGTCTCCTGATGTACTATTGCTATTTTTTCCACTCTAGTTTTAACCTATTGGTTTGTGCTGCAAGATTTTATTTTTAATACCATAGCTATTGGCATCTTGGATTACATTGGAATCTTTACTTGTTCTATGCTTAGTTGGATATTAAAGTTTAGCTGCAAGTATTTTTTTTATCTGTCATGTTACAGTATTATTCTCTGCATCTATCTTCATTTTAAATTAACATGTTAAGATGCAAGCTTTTGTACTAAAGTATATTTTAGCATAGTAACAAAATACACATGTACAATGGAGATTAATGGGAGCTTGTTCACAAAATAAAATGTTGACATTTTCAGACTTTGTAAGAAATGGTTTTGTTTCGCTGTTTCACAAGTTTAGATGCTTTATTTACAACAGTATTGGTGTTTTTCAAATGGTAGAATGCGAGGATGTCTTCCAGATGGGAGATGAGACATTTTTTTCTGTTGATTACACTGTACATTGCAATGAAATACTGGAAAGGTAAATTCCCAAACACGGAACCCATTTATTTATATTAGTGACTAGACACAAGACTGTGCTATACTGCAACAAAAATCTGCAGTTCATTTATTTTACCTGCCCTCCCATCTGTATTAAATAATATTGGCCTATAGAATTTTGTGATGTCAAAGTAAGCAGAACAACCAATATATACTGAACATCTAAGCTAGTGCTAGAATCACAAATAACATTTATATATTATCTATTAGCAATTTATTAACACTGTTGTAACCTAAGATATTCAAAGTGAAGACCATCTCCAAAAATCTTGAGTAACTAAATTAATACTGAATATATTTTCTTGTATACCATTTAATAAAAAGTTTGTTTTGGTCTTTTTAACTTGCTCAGTAGTAGATGTGAGCGGACAGTGAAGGGGGCAGCTCCACTCCACACATCTCCACGAACAGCAGTGTGTCAGTTAAAGGGAAACTGGACTCCGGCTGGTCTTCTCTTTCCAGCGCCACCTTCTGGAGTCTGTCTTCTGCCTTCTGTAGCAGACACTCTGTGAACATGTGGCTCCACTCAGCAGTCAGTGACATCACAGAGTCTATGAAAGGTTGGAGGTCAACCTGCAGCCAGCCCTGCAACACAGTGATGTTGTTGATAGCAGTGAGCGAGCTCTGAATACCCTGCAGCTTCTGGATCTCTCTCCTGAACTCCTTCAGTGTGGGAGGAGCCTCGTACACATCCTGTTCGTCTGGCCCCAGCTGTCGGCCGTACATAAGGAACTCCCGTATCATGTCCTGTCTGCTGTTGGTCCACAGGTGGCCGTACTTCTGGTCTAGCTCCGCTCTCAGATGTTCTGCTTTCTCAGACACTTCCTGTGTGTTTGACCTCACCTTCTGCTCCAGAGCACTCAGGGTGGGGCTTTGTTTGAGGCTGGGCTGGTAGTTGGTGTCACGGTGACCAGAGATCCTGGGAATGAGGTCTGAGGTGTTGTACAGCTCAGACACTATGGACTGCAGGCACTTCTCCAGGGACAGGATGCCCCCTGCTGGAAAGAGGTCAGAGGGCACGAAGCGACTGCCCTGAGGCTGCAGCACCAGAGTCATGCTGAGCAGAGGTGGTCCGGTGCTGTTCATGCTCTTAGTGAGGAAGGACAGAGCCGTCTGCAGCAGCTGAAACAGGCCAGACTGGACCAGGTCATCGATGTGATCTAGGTAGGACAGCCAAGCCTCAGAGGCCTCCTCAACCCGATACAAGGACATGTTCTCCTGAGTCAACCTGAGCAGCTTTTCTGCATCCTGGGACAGCTGTGACTGACTGGCCTCTGTAGCTCCGCACATCAGCAGCCCATCCTCTTGGCACTGCAGTAGCTGTGTCTCACCCCAACTCCCTGTGATCTGTTTTATGGCTGCTGTTTTTGCTCTGGCCTCTGTGATCATTTGATGGAAGCTGAACACTTTGTCTCTCTGTGTCTGGACCTCCTGTAGCAGCCCCTGAGTGCCCCACAACTGGCTCTCAATTCTGGACAGATCGCGATTAAGGTCTTGGAGCTGAGCCCAGATCAGAGGCCGCTCCACTGGGTCGACACTGCTCACCACATAGTTATAACATGACTGCAGTCTGCACAGGCTCAAGTGAGTCTCTGTGATGTAATTCCTGCAGCTGAACAGGTGAGAGGCTTGTGGACTGAGCTCCACCTCTTCATCCTGATTGACAAAACGCAGCTCACGAAGCACCATCACCAGTTTCGGACCACATGGGACCTCCAGGATGCCGTTCGGGTGTAGCTGAATTACTCTCTGCTCTCATGTTCCAAACTGAGTTGAATTGGCTATGCAGCTTGTTTAGAATGAACGGACACCTAAACAATGCCCCAAACATCAGCACAGTTTTCCCTGCAGAAGTGGAAACAGTGCATGTCTCCAAAGCACGACTGAAAACTGTCACTAAGCGGCTTTCAGTGTCTTGTACTTGAGAGTGAAACTGGGCCCAAAGTTCAGTAAACTTCTGGTCATTGGAATCAGTTGTATCACATTTGCTCTGTCAGAATGGTCACATGATGGAGTAAGTGACTGTAAGCTTCTTGAACCAGCCCAGTCCACTTTTTGCCGTTGACCCCAGAGAAAATGGCTTGGTCCAACTGGGACATGTCCAGAGCGATGCTGTAAACCTCCCTTATTTTCTCCAAACGCTCCAGAAACCGGTCAAGGTGGACGAAAATGAGCAGAGATGGAAAGTCCCACTTTGGACTGTTACCTCCCTGAGTATCCAGCTCAGCTCTACAATCCCCGAAGCACTCTTTCAGTCTCTCCAGATTTGCAATGCACAGACAGACAGACTCCAAAACTGGGGCCGCATCTGGAACAAGGCCCTTAAAGACCTGGTCCTGACCCAAGAAGGACCGGCTCAATTTGATGAAGAGGTTGCAGATCTCTTGCAGGAGAACCACAATGCGACAAGGTTCACAATAAAATTTTTAACGTGTCCGTAGCAACAAGACCTCCTTCATCACGGTTTCAACTTGATCCTGCAATAACGGGTAATCCATGGTCTGCAGAGGTTCTATTAGTTTTTGAAGGGGTCTAAGGTTCTGGTTTATGTCCTCAGCTTCTTTCAGTGCACTTTGTACATTGGAGTATCTGTAGATCTGTTGCAGGATGGGTGTATACACACTTTGGGCATTTTCAACAATGGCCCCCACTTGTTGTACTTTGGTGCTCTTGAGCTGTTTATCGATGAATACCAGATTTTGGAGTCTATTCTCCCAAAAGTTGAATTCCTCTTCAGGCAGGGGTCTGGTTTGCATCAGTAGAAGCTCAGATGAGTCCTGCTTCAAGAATTCACCTATAAGGTCAGCCCACTCTACGATGATCTCCTCACAAGCATGGAGAAGTTCTGACTGACTGGTGCTACTTAGTGTAATGTCTCCAGTATCGTCTGCAGACTGATCTTTCTGGTCCTGCTTTAGACCAACATCCCTTTCAAGATTGTATGTGTCCTTGTTGAGGACATGTAAATTGTGTCCTTGAGTTTGCACCTTCACAATCAAACCCTGTTTTTTTAGAAGCTCCATCTCCCTCAGCAGCTCTTCTGACTTCCCTCGGGACAATCTGAGCAGTTCTTTTCGTTACCGATCAAGGGTTGCGCCGTGACCAGGCTGAGCGCATCATTCCCGGGAATCTCCACAAGGCAAGGCAAGGCAAGGCAAGTTTATTTGTATAGCACAATTCGTACACAAAGTAATTCAAAGTGCTTTACAGAATAAGAAATACATTAAAATCATAATAAA